AGTTCTCAACTCAAGTTCACAAGCACTAAACAATCTCATAGTGCCACCTACTGACATTCTTTGGTAAAAGCAGTTCATTTTCACGAGGCAAATTTTAGTGGGTTACAAATGCAAGCTAAAGATTGTCATGTCTACAGCTATGCTACTTTGACTGGCAATAAGTGTGAAGTGCGAATCAACTCGTAAAACCACTTATCAAATATAATTTAAGCAATTTTTATGTTGGTATATTGTTATTAGGAACCAGTAACCAGTTGATTTGGATGATTTACAGTAGAGTTTCAAGTTTTAGCTGTATTAAAATGTATTTTATATTTCATTTTACAATATTAAGTCAGTATTGCTCAATATGATGAGGACAACAATGATAATGATGACTACACCAATTCATAATCTAAATAAAGGCTAAAACCTGACCTCTTTTAAATTGTCAAAAATTATTACCTGATGATAAAATCAGTCACGCCAGTCCCTAATACTTGTTTTTTCTGCGATTGGCTAACTGACATTTGTTAGGGTGGTTAAAACACTTTTTTGTTCATATATGTGAGGATTACTCTCATAAACTGTAGGTTATAAAGGGGCATCGATTTTCTGAAAAACTGTATATTCAATTCAGGTTTGCTAAGTGGCTTGAACCTATCCCAGCTGTCACTGGTCAGGGGGTTAAAATGGGGTTTATCTTTTAGGTTGTCAAGCATGATGATATGGTAGTATCACCATGTGGTCAGATACAAAAGTTTAAAAAAAATGTCTCTTTACTACATTTTGTATTAAATCAATGTCAAACAAAATATGTTTGGAAATGGCTCTGTGTAGGTTGTTCTGGTTACACCTTGTGAATAAGGGAGCAACTGAAAACAGCTTCCTAGACTAAAGACGATTTTTGTTGCAAAGCTAACTAACTAGCTAGTGCCATCTAATTTTTTGATAACAAACAATACGAGACAGAATAGTGCATACAAACAAATAAACTGCTTTGTAGCTGAATTTGGGCATACTTTACAAATTCCCTCTGACTATTTCTATAAACAAATGAAGGCCTTCCCATCTTTGAAAATTAAATACATATTTTAAAATGACTACTACTGCTAGTATTTATTTGGCCTAAAGGAAATTTTGTATGTCCCAACTCTGGCATAGGTCAAGCTCGACAGGCTAATTTGCACACTGTCATCAACAGTCCGTCTGGATCCCCATGGAGGTTGGAAAAAATCAGAATGACCGTACTGGTGTTTGATCATGGGAAAGAACGTTTGGTGCACAAATTAGTAAATGTGCTTTTCATTTGCACAAAAACTGTTGTGTCTCTAAGTCCCTGTGGGACGAGAAGTAGTGGCAGCTGAAG